TGAAGGTGTGGTGACACTAGAGCACTGGCAGGTGTGGCTCACTCTTGTTTCTCCTCGAGGAACCACAGCTCAATTGCTCTCTCAGTGTTTCTGAGGATCACTGAGCTGTGCTCAGTTCCCAGAGGTGATGGTGCTGTGCCTGATTTTCTGCTCCTGGTAAACAGCAGCACAGGAAGGCTGAAAACAAGGTGCTGCAGAGATGGTATCACTGTTTCATTAGTGTGTGAAATGAAGTCACCCTAGGCTCAGTAGCACTTGAGTCTTTGCCAGATGTGCTGTGTTATTAACTCTGGGGCCACACGTTGGCTTGTACCAAAGATTCCCATCAGATAGGACAGCCCAAACTCCACCAGCACCTCATGCAGCCCTGGCAAGGTGTCTGTGACCTGGGGTGGGGATAAAAGCAGCAAGTGTTAAATAATCTTCAAAGCCTTTGTGCCTCTGACTTGGCTACAGCTCAGCTGAGGCCTTGGTTTGAGGTGGGAACAGTGATGCTTTCCCTTGGAGAGGTTTGGAGCATGAATTTCGAGTGTGGGGAAGGCTTTGGCCTCTGCATTTGAGGGAGTTTGGTTTGTAATGTCATCCTTGGAGTGACCCTGAGCCCAAATCTGTGGAATAATTTACTTGCTCAAAGGTGATAGTTGAAATTCAACTTGTGTGTGCCCAAAATCCACCCTGGGTCTGCCCAAACTCACCCTGTGTGTACCCAAACCTACTCTGGGTCTGCTCAGATCCCACCTGGGTCTGCTCAGATCCCACCTGGGTCTGCTCAGCTTTTCACCTGGTTTGAAGTTTGGGTTTGGAATACTTCCCAAAGAGGAATGATCCTCAACCTCTGCCACACCAGGGGAAGCTAAGCAGCCTCTCCACCTTGAGTTGGGATTTAACCCTGAAGTCTTTGCCCATTTATCCCCAATTATTCCCCAGCTTTTTTTTCCTTCTACCTCTGGCCTGAAAGCTAAATGTGTGTGCTTATTTCTGGTTCTCTTTCAGGATCCTTTTGGGGAGAAACGAGGCCACTTTGACTATCAATCTCTCCTGGTGCGTTTGCAAGGGATTCGACAGAAGGTGCAGGAGAAACACCAACAGGAGAGCACAGAGATAGACTCTGAGAGCAGCTCCTCTGAGACAGAGACAGACACTCAGGGCTGCTCCAAAGCTTAGAGCCACAGAGAGGCCAAGCCATGGGGATGTTCTGGCTGCACAGAGAACCCCTGAGAGACTCACCAAGCAAACCAATGCCAGAGCAGGGAAAACTGTGGGATATCTCCTGCCTCCTGCCCTCACTGCTCTGGTGGATAACTGGGAATGAGGAGACTCCACACTAGACAAAGCCAAGCTTGTGCCAGGCCACTTGTCCAAGGTACTTCCTGTGCTCAGAGCCAGAGCATGTGGCATCAGGTTGTGGTTTGGAAACACCTACACTGGTTGTTTGGGTTTCTTTTTGCTCTTTTTTTTTTTTTTTTTTTTTTTTCTCCATTTGATTAAAGAATGAGATTAGACTGAGAATCCTTGACAGCTTTTCTGTTCCTACACACTGAGCCCTTCCCTGGGCAGTGCTGAAGGTGGAGCTGTGGCTGTGACAGGGCAGTGTGTGGCCAGGTGAAAGCTGGGCCAGCTGGAGCCTCTCAGCTACCTGATGTCTTTTCTTCTAGACACTGTTCTAGGCAGACCAAAGATAAAAAAGAGCAGTGGTGGAATTTGGGCTCCTTTCTGAAAGCTTTACTAGGTGGTTTTGCTCACTGAGACTTGAGGCACAAAGAGGCAGATGGAAAGTGGCAACTTGCAAGAATCTATGGAGTGCAGGTGTGTCCGTGCTGGGGAAGGGAAGGGGGAGAGAACCCTTGGGCAGAGGTGGGAGGAGCACTTAAAATTGAGTCTAGTTTGTGTATTATTATTATTAATTTTTTTTAAGGTGTTGATTTGACTTTAGCCACCTAGAAGTGTTTTATTCCAGCTGCTCTGACAGAGCTGCTTTGTTCCCTCACCTCAACTTCTCTGCTTTTCACACTTTATTTCCCTCCTGTCTTCCTGCTGCCACCTCACTCCCTGCTGCTACCTTGATCCATCAGGTGGAAAGACAGGAATAAAAGACAATTCCTGGAGGAGGGGGAAGTTCTTGGAGGTGTAACCCCTTCTTAGGGATAAATTCCTTTGCCAAACTTGGCTGAGTTTTGTCAGATGTAACATTAAAGTGGATGTGAGCAGGTTTTTCCTGGGAGTCAAGGCCACCCTGGAGAGGTTGTGCCATCCCAACAAAAAGATGCTGTGGGTGAAGGTGATAAACCCACTGTCTCCAGGTGACTGAGCCTGGTGAGGATTGATTGGAATTTTGTTGATAAAGAGATTCATCTTTTTCTTTTTTTTTTTTTTTCCCTTTTTAGTTATTTTGACAGGAGCTTTGCTAGAAAGCTAAGCCCAAAGTTGCACATTGGTCTGGGCCCTCTCCCAGTTTCCTTAGACACCTTCCCACCAGTTTGGCTCTGGTTCAGATTC